AATTCTTTTTGTTATAGTTATTACAGATTGATTTTAAGTTAATAATAATAACAACATATTTATTTGATGATAATAAATATATGAAAAATAAAAAAGTTTTCATTAGAGTTGGGCATGATTGATAAATGGATTGTTAATTGAAATAAGAGAGCAATTATTAATTAATAATTATAATAAAGGTGTGTATATATATATATATATATATATGAAGAAGCACTAATTATATATGTCATGATATGCTAGGTGTTACATAAAGGAAAATAGCTTTCAAGGAGAAATAGAAAAGCAATCAAGTCTCTATATTAAGGTGAGTAGTTACATTTCTTTTCTATTTGTATTAAATATAATTCTTTTAAATATAAATGCATTTCTTAAAATAATTAGAATCATATTTGAATAATTTCAATCATTTTTTTGAATGTTTAAATTCAATAGATTCATATAAATTGTGCAATATGCTTTTAACGATGTCCATGCATTGCATTCATATTGAAATTATTAATATAAATTTCAAATAATTGAAAAAAAATAAAAATAAAATGCTTAAATAAATAAGTCAATCATAGAAGTCAACCCCTTATGATAGTGGCCGAGGACAAAGATGAAAATGAAAAATATTTTACTGCATTTGATACAAATTTTTTGACAATGCACTTGATGAATTCTCAAATGTAATGAGTAATGAAACTATGGAAAATATTCTAATTAAGGTAAAGTGCAAATGTTTTAAACCAATTAAAAAAATGATATTATAACGTTAATCATCGTTATCTTTCATTTGTTATATTCGAGCATGTATCTAAATTACTGTAAAATTTATTCTATTGTTTAATTGTTTATTTATGGAAATGCTCCATCACACTTTAATGACTTACTAATTAGAGTATTTTTATAGAAGAAGAGGTGCAATGAAAAATAATATCTTGAATCATTTTATCTTGTGCATAGTATATTTTTTTTAATTATTGAAATTGTTATTGAAATTGGATTTTTTTTTTATTTTTTTGTTTGGGGTTGTATTAGATATTTTGTGGTTTAGCGGTTCTTTGATGTTTGAGTAATTATTTTAGAATGTTGTGATTATTAAACTTAAATACAACTACCGTTCGATTGTTCTCGAACCAGCTCATGACACGTAAATATGCATAAACAATGATAGATGCTTAGCAGTGAGCTTTGAAGCCATTTAAAAGTGGGAGCAATGATGCCAATATAGGTGTTGGCATCAAAGCATTAGATAGAAGCATGGATAATGAATTTATGTCTTTGATGTTGTTTAAATGAGGATGATGCGGTAGGTCATAATACATTCTATAGTTTTCGACATAGTTGTTTGTTTGCATTAATGCTTTAAAAGGCGTGAGCATTGGGTGGGGGGCATTTTAGCTATTACGGGGCGAGGCGTAAGCTATATATATATATATATATATATATTAAGAGACAAGAAAACAAGTTAGTTGTGTATGATAAAAAAAAAATTATTAAGAGATATTAAAAGAACTTGTACCATTCAATTTCTAGCAAACATGAAAAAAAATAAATTGGTGCTTTACTGTAGCTATAGTAAACTCAATGTAGCTATGGTGAAATAATCCATTAATAACTTATAAAACAATAAAAATTGCATATCTATTTGCTTACCAAATCAATCGGGTTGCGAGAGGGAAGCTGCGTGTGTGGGAGAGAAGCAAATGTCGCTTGATCTTCTACCTGCCAGAGAGGAAGCTGCGGGATCGTCAGTGTGCAGGACAAAATTGACTGGGGGATCGTTGCGTGTGAGAGCAAAGCAGGCGGTGGGATTGCCTGCTTCGGAATTATCTATGTATGAGGGATGTAACAGGCATCGGCTCAAACAACTGTGGGATCATTTGCTACTCTGCATACAATGCGACTTTTTGTGCGATGAAGGAAGTAGAGGGTTGAGAGTGATCATTTGCGTGCGAGAGACTCTTGATTCATCGTGAATCAGGAGATCGTCTGTCTGGAGCGTACGTCCCATGAGGCACAACTTGCTGTCACCTCCCAAAAGAGCTCTTATGGGTGGTGGGCAGCCCAGGACTTAAACCACCTAGTGGATGTGGGACTATTTGTCCGTGACATTCTCCTCCCCCCAATCACGTGACGCCCTCGTCACGGATCGGCTCCACCGAGGGTCCCACTGGACCATGGAGAGTCCACACACTTGGCATACAGTAATCTGCTTTGATACCATTTGTCACCTCCCAAAAGAGCCATTCTGGGTGGTGGGCAGCCCAGGCTTAAATATTGCTTTTCGGCCCTACATCAAGCCAATGTGGGACTATTTGTCCGTGACATGTAGCAGCCATTATTCCGTGACGAGGGCGTCACGTGATTGGGTGGAGGAGAATGTCACAGACAAATAGTCCCACATCGGCTAGGTGTAGGGCCGAAAAGCAGTATTTAAGTCCTGGGCTGCCCACCTCTCTTAAGGGCTCTTTTGGGAGGTGACATTGCGCTCCAGACGTAGAAAGCTTTCTCGGATGTAAGCTCTGTGATATTTGAGTTCTTCTCATGGGCTTAAGGAGAATTGACTTACGTCTTAACCTAGGGGGCGCCCTAGGAACGCCTTTATAAACAGAGGTTTGCACCATGCCACTATCATGGCTTTATTTAAGAAACTTGATAGGCTGCCCAATTTTAAGAGGAAACTTCCCCATTCCTATTGCCATCTCCCATGATATTAGATTTAGGGGTTTTCGTCCATGATTGTTGAAATCAAATTTTCAAAGTGTTAAGTGCAATATGATCCACAAAAAATTCCTTTTGCTTCAATTGCAAAGCGCAAAGCGAAGTAACATTTTTTTTATTAGATCATTCATTATTTGTATGTTGTAAGTTTTTAAAAGTGATTAAAGGACAGTTAAATCTCAAGAATACTTTTGAGGGCGACTATCTAGAAATCAAAAGGGAGGTAGAAAGAGTGTGGATTTAGGGCACTGAGGAACATTCTTCTGAATAAGTTTGTCAGTGAGAAACTAAAAGTGTAGACATCATGAGTCAAAAAGCATTATATAAGAAAAGCAAATAGACTCTAATAGGAGAGAACAAAGAGCTATGGAGCATTGACTTGTTGACTATAAGAAATAATGAGAAGAAGAGAATGCGCACGCTTACTCATCAAAGCAAAAGGTGAGCAAAACCATGAAATATGAACCATGAGTTTGTTTTAAGTTGGAGCTGAAAGCTCTACTCTATGATGCAACATGTAAAGTAGATCGAAACGTGCACTTTGTCATCAGTATTTGTTTCACCAAACAATGTGCAAACTTGTTTTGCTCATAAAGTAAACTTTTAACCCTTCACTAAGATATACGTTAATTAAAAATGCCTTTGGGTGAAGGGTTTTTTGGCCTTCCAACTAATGAAAGGGTTGTGAAGTGAGATCTGTTAGACCATTGTGCTCTTGGGGTTGATGGAGTAGTGGATGGAGCCCTTAGGCTTTAAAATCCATGTTACTTGGGATCGAATTCAGGTCTTGATTTTAGTTAGACCATTTGATTTGATCGATGTTTGACATCTATGCTTGATGTTGTGGATTTGATGAAAGTGCTTTTATTTATCAGAAACTATCCACTAATCAAGATATACAAGTACTTATTGCCCATGAATCTCGATGTCATGGTTGGATGATTCTGATTAATATGATAATTTTATAATGTTGTATTGATTATCCATAGAAATCTAAAAGGATGAATAGTATGGGTAATTAAAAGTGTTTTTTTGTCAGTAAAAAAAAGTCTCGGAGTTACGCAAAAATAGAGGATTCTTCCACATGCACGTGTTCTATGTACAAATTTTCCCTTGCACACTCTCAAATTATGTGTGTTTCTCTCTGCAACTTAAAAGTGTATGTGAGCAGCCGGTGAGCTCAAATTCTTGTAATCGAATTGCTTTTGTCAAAACAGCCAACCAGATAGTTTTTATTTCTTCATTGCAACTTAGTTCCTGGCACCTCACTAAACTAAGTAGGCGATTTTTTTAATCTATTCTCTTTACCTTGTGGCTAGTGTACTTTATTTAGTTATGCATTTGGTACTGTTAATGAATTTGATGAATTTTAAGTGTGAAGTTACTAGTATATGTTCATTTGTACTTGTATGTGTAGTGATAAGTACTTGGTGGACATTTACTCGGGTGTCAGCAGTAGTGGAAACCCCAAATCTAAGAAAAGGAGCGATGAAATTAAAAGTTAAGAGGGTAAGCATTTTAGTTTAAAGCTTTCATCTATTTAAAAAAAATAATAAACTATTATAAATATAATTATTAATTTAAAATATTGTTAATATTAAATTATTATTAAGTATTTAAGTTTGTGAGACAATTTTCAGTTTTAAATATAATATTAAACAATTTAGTAAAAATTTAGAGTGGCGACTGTCTCCTCTAGTCATCCTCTAATCCCCCTGCCTAAGGTGAAAATTTGTGTTTTTGCTATGAAAAACTTAAAGGCGAGCAATTTTTTGGGAACTTTTTGAATATTACGTTTAACTGACGCTATGTTTGTATATATCATTCGAAGGGGCTCACAAACCTGTAAATATATTCTTAAAGAAATGAAGTACAAAGGATGACATTATACATGGGCTTTCTAATTTAGCATGTCTTTTCAAGTTGGTTTGAGGAATAGGAAAATTTAACATCTGTTATTTCTGATGATCTTTAAAGACTATAGGCTGGTTAAATGGCTATTATTAGCGCGATAATTGATGGTTGGGTGTTGTTTTTATGAGTTTATCTGTTCTATACCTATGACACAAGCTTAGGATGTTAGGCAATTGAATTGAGTTGTAATTGTAGAACAAAGCAGTCAGGTTACGTTGTATCAATTAGCCAAACTTTTTTTTAGCTGAAAATTGGAATTTGGAAACAAACAAGTCTATTTGTAAACTGCAGATTCACAATATGTATATATATATATGTATATTAAGTAGGTGTAGTAGTTGCTATTCATATTTCATCTGTTTTACCTTGTTTGGCAGGAAACACTTCGAGTTAAAGATGAAGAACTTCAACAATTGGCCAAAGAATTACGTGCAAGAGATTCAACTATACGTGAGTTAGCAGACAAGTTAACTGAGACAGCTCAGGCTGCTGAAGCGGCTGCATCTGCAGCTCTTGCTATGGATGAAGAGAGGAGGCTTGCTTACACAGAAATTGAACGACTGACCAGTGATTCAAATAAAAAACTTCAAGAAATCATTCTTAAGGTGCTCCAAATCTACTCGCTTCAACCCAATTCACTCATCTCCTCAGCTAATCTTACACTCTTACAGAATAAATAAAATTAAACAAGCTGATCTTAAAGATTTGGTAATTGTTTCTGTTTTGGTTTAACATAATATGAGCATGGACCCTTTTATACGCTTGTTATAATACCAATAGATGAGCCAGAGAATGTACATATTCAACATGTTTAAAGAACATGGAATTTGCTAGCTACAGTGACCAATCAGTGCAATAATTATTTTTCTTAGTTTCTCTACCGAAATTATCTGGTTGATATCATCACCATCATCATCATCATCGTAATTTTATAGAATTGATTGGGGCTTTCATGAATGCTCCTTTTAAGTTCGACATACAGTTTTAAGCTTCATTTTTTATCACTTTATCCAGTTTAAATTCTTGAAAAACAGTTTGGATTTATATGAAAATGCGGTTGGAAATTCATCAGTTTGCAATTATATCGTTGCTATGACTTTAGGAGCACATTTTCTGAGTTATTAAACAGCTTGTATTACAATGGGAAAATATTATTTTTGTTTTTTTATAATTTCAAACAGTATAATAAAAGCATAATATTGGTTCAACTATACTAAATGGATCTTTAGTTTGTAACTTACATTTGGTCTATATTTTATTTCCCTTTCTATCCATTTCACATTTATTTATTTTAAGTAAATGCATGTTTCATTTTTTTTTTTCAGTCAAATTGTCTTTTTTGGGTCATATTTTTTCGCTTTATGTTCTGAAGTTGTTTTATTATTCATGTAGTATGCATTTATATTCTCTTGGAAAATTGTACTTACTTTAAAAGCCTCATTTATAGATCAGCTATAGGAGGGTAATGAAATTGAAAAGTTAAATAAATATCTACTCTTACTTAAATGAGGAGATTTTTTGTAAAAATTATCGGCTTTGTGCTTTTAGAAATACCCCTCTACCCTTCCCTGTTGACCATCTCCCCTTCTACCTAAAAACTAGATAATTGGTACAGGATAACATGGAGATTGAGTTTTTAATATAGCTTTTCTAGAAGTACACAGTTTGATGGTTATGCTATCATGCATAATGCTATAAATCTAAAAAGTTCATTTTCATAGAATTCTGACGTATTCAGATAGTTTAATGGTGCCATGGAAGTCAGTGAAGGATAGTTTAATTTTAGTGAGAGGTTAGGTGTGTTTGTTAGGGTGAAATACAAAGTGCCAAATTTAACCTTTATAGCCTAGTGTATTGACACCCATAAATATAAAAGCTTTAGGCAGCGTTTATTTCTTCAAAAAACATTAGGCATGCATTATCGTTTGACTCTTGTACCAGGGGTTTGTCCTCTTCACTGATTTTCCTTAAAGCGTTGGACTTGGTTCTGTGAACCCTTTATAAAGTCTATGGGATGAGTTTCTATCCTTACAAGAATTTAAAAAAAGGAAAAAGTTTAAGCTAATGGGTTGGGGACACTAGCAATATATTAGAAGCTGGTCTTGTTTTTAATATTCTTCACCCTTTATATGGGCTAACAATCTCTCACATGAGAGTTTTTTATACCGTCCAAGATATTTCTTCAAATAGAAGCATTTGAATAACATTAAGTGCTATGCACCAATAATGCATTTAACCATGGTAGAAGATCCATGTGATTCACAAACAAAGGAACCGGTTTATCTGAGTCAAACCATTGATTAATATCGCTATTAGGCGAATGGAATATAAAGGGCCCAAATAAAGTCCAATACACTAGTATATGGTACCATCAATCCAACTTAGGCCTCTTTTGTTTCTAATATCGCTATTATTAAGTCAAACTATTGATTCTAATATCGCTATTAGGCGAGTGGAGAACGTCTCGACAAAACGCGTGGTCCTTGTTTGGCATAGTTGCGTCGCCGGAAGTACATCAAACGGAACGTCATTTTCTCCATATTCCAGATCACGACATCTCTATAGCTTCAAACCGTCGGACGCTCAGTTCTGCTGTTTCACAAAGAAAATTATCCAAAATAGCTTTGTATGGAACTGAGTTGCAGCTTTCATGGTTTTTTGCCCTATGCAACCAACATGAAAGACTGGTAGAGGCAAAGACCATTCACAAAAGTTTTTATTTGGATAAAATAAAGAAAGCTCAACAGGAAGAAGAGTGAAAAAACAGAGAAGATGCTATCATAGAAAACAATACTGAGAAGATGCTATCATCAGGGGTAGAACATCGATTAGAAAACACAAAAAAAAAATTCTTTAAATTCAAGAAGAGCTAAGAATAAGATTGAGAAGGCTTTTTTTGGCTCATCTCTCTCCTTCAATTGTTTTCCTAGGAAGATGGATTGGGGACTACTAGCACAAAAACCGCAACGACCTCATTATAAAAGAAAAATTGAAATGATAATTGGAGGTAAAAAAAATCTGAACAGAAAAAATGAGTTGCAGAACCTAAGTCACAGAAAACCCTTGCTCTTAGTAACTCACTTGGTACCAAAAAAAAAGTATGATGATGCAATTACCCTATCAGGCTATCATAAGTCACCGCCGGAGAGGAAAGACAATTTTTTGTGACTTCTTGCTAAATCTTATTTCCGAAATTTTTTAGGATATTCTCAAATGAAGAATATTTTATTTCTGGGTACCCAGACTACAGTTCTCTCATCTTAACATACATGGAGGGATATTTTAGTATTTTATCTTGGAAAAGTTATGTTTACATCAACCACAACAATAACAAGCCTTTATCCCACTAAGTGGGGTCGACTACATGAATCTTTTTTCTCTATTGAGTCTTATTGAGTGTCATATTTTCATTTAATTCTAATAGATTAAGATCATTTTTCATATAATATGCTCGTCTTTTTTGGTCTACCATTGCATTTCTTATTAATGTCTTTTAGGTGCACCGTCTAATTGTATGACTATGCTTTCTAATATTCTTTATCTTACAACTCTTCATTTTAAAATCCAAAATTAATTATTTATGTTGAGTACTCAAATTTCACTTGGAATGACCTTATAATCTTTACCTTCTTGACGATCTCTTCTTCTCATAAGAAAATCAGTTTGTGTTTTATTAGATTCATTCTTATAAGTAATAATATGCTCATCTCTTTTCTTAAATAAAATATTAGCAATAAAAAAATCATAAGCTAAAACAAAATTTAATTTGGTTCAACCTTCTTCATTAATCACTCCAAAACCGTATCAACCATGATTATTTATAAAATCTTCTAACACTCCACCAACGTGCTCATTTAAATCTTTTCCAATAAAATTTTTTCTTCAAGAGGTATCAAAGTCTCCTAGGTCATTTCATAAATTTTCTTTAGAACCTATGTCTAAATCTACTTGAGGAGCATAAACACTTATAACATTAAAAATTGTAGTATCAACAATAATCTTAAGGGCTATAGTTATATCACCAATTCTATTAATTTTTATAATTTTATATTTCAAACTCTTATCTATAATTACACCTACACCTACACAATTTCTAGTGTGACTTCTACGTGAATATCAAAGTTTAAAACCTAAACTATCATTCTATTCAGTTTTTTTCTTGAACACATAAGATATTTATCTTTCTATGAATCATAATATCCATTAATTTCATTAATTTACCTGTGAGAGTACCTACATTCCAAGATCCTATCCTAATACTAGTTTTATGAACTAACTTTTTTACCTACATTTGTCCATAATATGAGAACCCTCACTTATTTGACAGTACACTTGGACACCGGTGTAGTGACACTTATACATTTTTCATTGTATTTAGGTCATACAACGCGTCGTTTCTAGGGGATGCTCTAATATTTACACAAGGATTTATGCCATGATTTTTTTGATAAATTTTACGCCAGTTGTCGACTGCCTAATGCAAGCTTCTACTTTTTATATCCGCTTGGGACGCGACAATGACAGTGTTAAAATTTTATTTTTCAAACATATAATAATTTCAATACCTGTAATTTTAAAATGCTATTTATTTTAAAGCTACTTTTAAAAGAGCTTCAATATTAGGAGAAGCGTTATCAAACAAAGCCTTAAGCTAATGGGTTAGAATGCTGCCAGTATACAAAAGCTTAGTTCTTTTTGGTTTTAAATTTAATTTTTAATGTGAGGCTATTCTTCACCATCATGTCGATTTTAACCATCCTTTTTTTTTCTCTTAGTTCCCTACAGTAGTAGCTCTACGCCCTTCCACCAACAGCGAAACCAAGTTCTTTATTTCTCATTAATTTATGAAGTGTTTTCATTGCTTTATCTATTGTCATCGTTTGTAGTATGTTAAGGTTATTTTAGACTCTGCCAGTCTAAGTGAACTCGGTCATCTTAGCTCAAAATCCTTTTCCATCTACCAATATTCACCTTTCTATCACTAATAACCTTTCTTCCCGCTTTTTTTTTTTTTTTTACCTTGGAAGCTTACGATTGGATTTTCTGTATTATAAAGCTACAAGCCTACAACTGGTTGTGAGTTGAAACTTGCGTTTTAATGGAGGATTAAGACGCGGTGTTATGCTAAAGTGAAAATATAATATGGAAGAGGGAGGGTGGACCTCTTTAGAACCATATATACTCCTGTTGCTTTAAGGCCGATGACATATCATCAACTAATAATGCATTGTGATTATAAAGGCCGCTGTAAACCAATTTCTCCCATGAATAGCTCTATACTGTAGCAGAGTGTATGGGTACGGTGGTACCTAACAAGTAGGCAAGTGATAATTTCCATATTGATAGGTGTATTTGGAGGTTGGCACCTATCGATTGCTTGGTAGAACGTGGTTATGATGCCCTGTTTTTTTTTTTTATTCCCAGTGGTGCTTCAGTTTTTTATTACATTATCGACTTTCGTATATATTATTTAAGGTTCATCCTGATGTTGTAGTCTAAACTGCTATCCTGTTTAAGTTTTATTTTGAACCGTTTTTAGTTGGTGCTCCTATTTATGCTGACCCCACTCTTATTATCATGCATGACATTATTCATGTGGTTAAACAAAATTTGGCTATCTAGTTGTAGTGGGGACTAAACAAAAACAAAAGAGGAATCTTTGCTTGTATAAAGATGATGCACAACCTAATCTCATCACTGATGAAATCCTCACCCCTACCTCTATATCTTCTACATCATCCGTTCTCTTTGACATAGTTTAATACTAAGTTCGTATTTTCCTTTTACCAAACTCCAAAATCTGTGAAATTTTTTCCTAATTAAACAAATAATGTCCTAATTAAACAAAATATAAAGTCCATACAAAAGCAAATGACAAATAATGACGATAAGTATTTTTTCTTTGAAACCGTTCCAGTCTTCTTTTCTCACCCCGAACTTCGCCTCTTAGGCTACTCAGCGTTACACCCACACACTCCTGCTTGCTCATACATACATTTGTGATTCAGAGCTGAAATCTGGACTATCTTCAGAAAACTCTTCAGGCATAACTTCCTGTATTTTTGCATTAAAATCCACTTGGATTATTCCCATCATATTTGCATGTGATTGAATTGAACTTCTTCTTAACCCTTTTTTTCTTTATTTTTACATTAAATTAAATCTGAATCATATATCAGTTCCATAAGAAACTTTTTATGACTTTTGCAAATACGCCGTCATAGTTGAAAGAATCGGAAGAAAAGGTTGCAGCATTTAGCAGAGATAGAGAGATCCTGTTCAAGCAGAGAGACTCTGCTCTTCAAGAGGCACATTTATGGCGTTCTGAGCTCGCAAAAGCTAGAGAACACGCTGTTTTATTAGAAGCGGCTGTAGTTCGAGCTGAAGAAAGGACCAGGGTTTCACAGGCAGATGCGGAAGCTCGATTAAAAGATGCCGCTGAAAAAGCATTGTTCGCTGCAAAAGAAAAAGAGGATCTGTTAGCATTTGTGACCGCTTTGCAATCTCAAGTCCAAAGGTTAGCAATTTAATTTTTAATCTTATTATTATATACTCGGTCTTTCATCTACAGTGTTAGAAGTGGTGAATTAGTCATATATTATGTCTCAAGGTCTCTAATGTAGTTTTAGTATAAGAGCAGCAAAAAGCACACAAAATTCATAGGTGATGAGCTCTTAATCTTTAAAAATCATTCATTATTTTTAATAAGAAATACAAACAAGATGGAAATCAGTCGTAATGAAAATCTAATGGGCTTTAGTAGTAGTATTGGTTAAAAATTTCAGGACCGGTGAAGCTGTAAAAATGCCTTAAATTTATGCATTTGTTGAAGTTCAAATTGCATTAAATTTGATTAAAATCAATATCATTCATAAAGTAATAATAAAATCCGAAGGAATAAAAAAAGGAAATAATTCAGTAGAAGAGCAATCTTCTTGCGTGTACAGGAAATAAACTGTTGGGCTAGTGTGATTGCAGAACTGGACTCCCACCCTCTTTACTGCATTCAATGTTGTCATATGAAGCATTTACATATCATACAATTCATATCTATCTAAATATCTAACACCACAACTTTTATATTTACATTTATAACACTCATTTCTTTAACATCACATCAAAAATACCACTTCTATTAACTTTTTAAAACTCACATGCACTTTTTTATGCATAGGTTTATAACATGAGTTGTTTTAAATTTAAATATCAAACTTTAGGTGTTACATATGTAAATCCATAAGAAATCTTAACAAACATTTTGTAACTAAATTTCCATATTTCTCTTCTAGGCAACAGAGCTCCACAACACAAAACACTCCACAAAACAAGTGCTGGAAGAGAAACCCGAGTCAAGCTCAGGCTTCATCAAAACGGCGTCAAAGACAAAACATGCGGACTTGGAAGACGATGTCGATAAAGCTTGCTTAAATGATTCAAAACTTGTTCAGGTTTCTGGTGACAGTGTGCAATTGACTACCAATGGTATCGATATTCGTACCATTAATGACGACCAATGGGACGAATTTCAGTCCTCCAACGAAAGAGTAGCAGATTTAAGGGTAATATCTCCAGAAGCTGAGGGAAGCAGCATGGATATACCTGTTGTGAGCCTACCTGCTGATGATCATCAACATGTCGGTAGCTCTCACCAACCTTGATGTGAATTTTTATTTATTATTTTGTCTAAGGGATAAGTGTTGTGATATAGTGAACCATTTATTACCCCTTATATTTATTTTTTGTATTATGTTCAGAGAGGAATAAGTGCTACTGTGATTTATTTGGAAAGATAGAGAAGAAGGAATGATTATAATTGTTCAACTTGAACGTTATCTTCTACATATATTTGTTCTATCCATAAGGTTTTGTATGGGAAATTCTGTGGCAATTTTGTATTATTTTTTTATTGTTGGCTGCTTCCTATGTTGCTTTTGATGAGATTAAGGGGCCCGTTTGGGACCCGTTGTTGCGGCTTTTACGTCTTAGAGAAATAGAAGCGGCGTTTGATTCCCCTTTTATCGCCAGCATTTGGGACCCCGTTGCAAATCTAATTGTTCTACATTGAGTTGAACGTAGAAATGGAAGGGAGAGGGTGCGGTCCACTACTGGAGCTCCGTTGCGAAGTGCCTTTGACGTCGTTGCCCCTTTGAATTTCTGGTAATCCCACTTCTTATCCTCGCATATACCCTCACCACTCCTCCTTTCTCACCTATATCGTTAGGGCAAAAACCTAGCCTCCCGTTCGCCGCCGACGAATTGTTGCAACCTTCTTGTGAAGTTTTCTCTTCTATGCTTTTTTTTAGCTTCATTTGTTGTCTACCTTTGCGTTTCATATTTCCTCTATGAAAATTTTGGTGTTCTAGGCGTATTGCATATGTTTTAATGTAAAGTTGATGTTTGCAAGATAGATTAATTAGCAACATCCTTACCTAATCTGATCCAATAGTAGAAACAATGTGGTGAAATATATAGGAGGAATGCTCACTTGTTTATTTCTGATATTTTTATTAGTTTATTTTGTTTGGATAGTTATATGAGTACTGATTTTTCAGGTGTTCTAACAAATTATGTTGGAAGAATTATTTGCTCTTGCCTCATTGTGGAATAATATTTTGGGGGGAGAATGTTGAACACTGCTTCTTTCGTTATTTTATATGATACTTTTACAGACAGAATTGCATATGTTTTACTGCACAATTGAAGTTTATATGATAGATAAATTAGTAGAATTGTTATCTGTTCTGATCAATTAATAGAAGCAATGAGATGAAATTTATGAGCATTGCTCATTTGTTTGTTTCAGATTTCTTTGTTGGTTTATTTTGTTTAGATAGACATGTGAGCATTTGTTTTCATTTTTTCTAACAAATTATGCCGCCTGAATTGGTTGCTCTTGCCTCCTGCTCAGTATGAGAATGTTGAGCTCCGTTTTTTTTAAGTTTATCTGAGACTTATAAATATAATTGAATATAATTTATTGCACATTTGAAAGTTTGCATGATAGTTAAGTTAGCAATATCCTTACATATCCTGATTAATCAGTAGAAGCAAAAGAATTTTTTCATTTTTAAGATAAACTTAAAAAAATAATAGAATAGAATTGTATATGTTATGTTGTAGGAATGTAAGAAGTAATGTTTAAACAAAAGGAATGTTGAGCACAACTTTTTCATTTTTAACCGTTTTGTTTTTTTGAGGCTTTCAAGAATAGAATTGTATATGTTATGTTGTACATTTGACGTTTGCATGATCAAATAATAGAAGCTATGGAATGTAGTACATGTCATCATTGTTTATTTATTTCTTTCATAAGTTTATGAGTGCTTATCATGTATATGCATTCACTGAGAACATATGTCAGATAAGATATCAAATGGGGCATGACAAACAAATGATATATAAATCGATGTTGGAAAATAACTATCTCAAAGGGCTCAACCGATTACCACTTGTCAATTTTAAATTGGCGATGTTGTTTTCTCACAAATACTACGTGTCGCCATAGTACACGTTCAAATGCTTATTCGATTTGGGAAAACAATGATTATGGATGAAGTCTTCTTTGGTTAAGAGATCTCTCTGATCTCTAATTGTTGCCTCGAGGACCTGAATTGGCTAGTGCGATAGAAACATAAAATTGGTTATGGTATCTTATTTGTCATGTATTCTGAAGGTTTAGTGCTTGGATATGCGTAACAAGTACACCACATTCTAAAATGAACAGATGAACAATGCTCATATATAATCATTTTTTTGTTTCTTTTGATTAATCAGGATATGTAAGGATGTTGCTAACTTATCTATCATGCAATTTTTAAATGTGTAACGAAGTGTATGCAATTCTATTTATAAAAGTCTCAACAAAAGTACTACAATAAAGAGAAACAGTGCTCAAAATTCTCCCCCAAAAACATTAATCCACAATGAAGAGGCAAGAGAAAGAAATTCGACTAGCATAAATTTTAGAAAACTAAAAACCAGTGTTCACATATCTATCTAAAAAAAAAACAAAGAAATCTGACAGAAACAGATGAACACTGCTTGGTTTTCTTGGATGATTTATATGATCTTATTACTTCAGATGTTTTGTCGACCCGTTAGTTGCCTAGTTTTTGTTTACGATGAGACTTTCAGAATGCGATTTGGTGGGCACATTGCACATTTCTTATGAAATATTTAGTAGAGCGATGATGGAAAAATATAACAAAATGGCTCACTCGATTACCAAATGTGAGTTTGAAAAAAAAATGGTCATGCTAAATTAACAACCAGATACTCTCTAGTCTTTATGCCAATATAACACAATTGGTGATCATGGATGGAGCTATCTTTGACATCTATGAACTGATTATAAGCTCTACTTTTACTTTTTATTAGACACATCTTATTTAGGTTCATGTATTGTTGTTTTACATGCCAAATTTTGTTGATCATTTCTTTTTTTTTTACTTAGATATTAGATGTGTAAACAAAAAGAATGTGGGATATCTGCTATTGGGATATGGAGACGAAAATAATTTTCTGTGATTTATGCTTAAAAGAGGTAGAAAAGGGCAATCAACGAACAACACATTTCAATAAAGAATGTTGACAAAATATAACCAAACTCTTTCAAGGAAGAGCTGCCAAACTTTGCAACAAAACTCAGCTGAAAACTAAATGAGATTAGGTTAAAAAGGATTAAAAGTTGTGGAAGGAGCTCAAGAGAGGGGCCACTAGTTTAGGATGGGACTCTATTAGAAAAATGATTGATACACCTGAGGAGTTGTGGCCAGAAAAGATTTCAGTAAGTAGAACATCTTACATTCAATATTTCTTAATTTAAAAGTCCGCATCTTAGAAGACCAATTTTTCAGTTGTAGTTTTTACCGAATGCAAAGAATTTTAGTCTTGTTGGCATTGACCCAGAGCTAAAAAAGAAGCTAGAAACTATATTCCTTGGTGTGTAGCAATAGGGGACAACCCTGAGCCACAACAGAAGAGCCCACCTTTAATTTGGATGGGTCTGAATGTGCTCATTCAAACGAGGTCTACGAGGAACAATCAGAAGAAAGGAAACAAGGGGAGTCCAATCACTTCAAGCAACCTACATCCTCGACACAAAAAGGGAAAAAATATAAGTAAAGTTGGGGCAGTCCATCTATCCCAATAAATAGCACAACAAATGACAAACTGCACCAACATTACTTTGAGTGCCCCACACTGCTCTTCATGCATACCCCACAATGACAGATGTTGTCAAGCTATTAGACTCAATTCCATAAATTTTAGTGGACATTCCTTCATACTTATTTACTATAAAACTTCTGGAGGATTAAAGCAAGCGAAAGGCTTTCTTCACCCTGCTCCCTAAACGGAGAATTTCTTACTTCCATTATTTTTTAGGCATTCCGACTAGTTAGATGTCATGCACATATATTTTTTAGTTGTTGGTACTATGTCAAAGTGATTATTTGTAGTTTTTGACATTTCAATCGTAAACTATGACTTGTGTGTGCTATTTTTTACGTTTGATTATTTTTGAATTTCCTTAGTTTTAAAACTTTTATTGTGCGGATTTTGAGCATTTATCTGCACTAAGAATAACATGATCATTTGAAATAAACTTAACATTATTCTTTCAGACAAATGGAGCCACCAAAAGAGGAGGAGATTATAGAGACAATTGAGTAAGCTACAGTCATTATCAACACAGTTTGTCTGATTCATGAGTACTACCCGAGACACATTTGTAAGACACCTTGTGCCTCAACGTCATCCGTGGGTGACAAATGGTTTGGTGAACCAATAGAAGGCTCATACAAGTCAGATTCACATAATGTTCCGAATATCAAAAGCTATTTTCTGTGATTTATTAGATGAATTGTAATACAAATATGGTTTGCATGGATCTTCGTGATTTACATCCCAAGAAGTCCTAGCTATCACACTCTTCATTATGTAGCACAATGAATCCATTCATGCAGTTTCTAAGTGTTTTCAGCACTCTACAGTGGCGATCGGTGGGTATTTCCATGTTGGGGTTAACTCTCTAGTTAAAATAGCTACAAATATCGTTAAACCATTGGACCTATCTTTTGCTCAAACACCTAGGGAAATTTGTAAGGATCTAAGGCGCATGTCGTTTTTCAATGTTTTAATCCCTCTCTCTATTTGTCCTTCAATTAATTAAAGGAAACTTATAAAAAACTTAAATTATATCTTTTTTCTGTAATAAAGACTGCATAGAAGCAATTGATAAAACACACGTTTACAAACTCTTTCTATTATTTAATTTTGAATATTCTAAAAACTACATTTATTTCTTCAATTATTGTATATACAAGTGCAAAACAGTTTTTCTCAGCAAAAATAATAGCAGCATAACAAATCTCTTAAACATACACTTGTTTCTTCATCAGCAACTTTTTGGCAGCTCCGCAAAAGCTGCTTTTCCAAGAGGAAACTTTATAGCAGCATCTTGAATAAGCAACATCAACCCCAAACACACTCTAAATGAAACTAGATTCCTTATTGTAAACAAATATGTCAATGTTAGAAAATGAAATTAGATTCATTATTGTAAACAAAAATGTCAATTTTAGAAAATGAAATTAAATGAGATTAATTATGGATGTGTGAAAAAATAAAAGATTATAAGGAGCCCGACAATAGACCCATTATGTACCTTGTTAGATCCATTAAAATCTCATGGCAGATTGATTGGATGAACTGACATGGTGGACTGAAGCATTAGCTACCACCTTCTCAAGAGTTGATATACTCGTTGGACCCACCTACTGAATTCATCCTGACTAGCGATCCTCAGGATTGATAGGGAGCCCAATTATAGATCAACATTAAAAAGATTAACATATGTTATTTCACCTTTTAA